AATAAACGAATGATGTTACAGTGGATCGTTATGCGATAAATCGTATAAATTAAGACGAGGATATTTTTCTCCATTTTCATGCATTTAACACGGTGAGCCGCGATGATCGCGTTTTACCGTGCGAGTTACATTTACTGTTACCGAATCTTTTAAACTCTTCTTAATATCGTGTACCATCGATCAATAAATTGAAAAAGAAAAGGGATAAGTTTAATCCGTTTTGTTCGTAATAAAGGAAAACTGTACGAGGATTTTTATATTGGGAGTCGTTATAGTCGTACGTAATTTATCGAGGTGGACGTCGAGTTCCGTTCGAAGAACGCACGATTCGACATAGAGAGAAGAAATGAAACGGAAAGGAGACAGTTTCTAGGACCTTAGAGAGTACACTAGCGCCTCGCCACAGCGATATCGCCTTAAAACTACTAGCGCCGTAGTCTGCAAAGGGCTAAAACAAAGGAGAACGTCAACGCTCTCGGTATCTCGGATCGCACGAGTAACTTGCAGTAAAATTCGTTCGAGTAACTCGTTCGACTAGTTTCCACGCTCGCCCGATAACACGAAACCATTTAACGAATTTATTTTACGATAGAAATTAACGATCATCTTTCACCTAGTCGAGTCGAACATTCACGTCCACGCTTCTTTTCACTTTATAGCGTGCAAGATTTACAGCGGTCTAGCTATACTTAGGACAACTTCGATAAATTTTAGCCACTCGTTACATAAATAAGGTGATTCAATCGAGAAATATGAAAGCTGAAAAAATTTACAATTACTATTATTAATAGAGCTTCGTGAATAGAAGGCGTAAAATTTCGTTAATGATAATTAGCTCGCTTGTGCAAGAGGATTCCTGGCCCTCCAACTAATAATTTCAATAAATTAACCGCTTACGAGTTATAAATTATAGACGTGTTCTACGCAATTTTACGATTTTTTGACAAACGGGACAATTAATCGAGCTGTAATTCGTAAACTAACTCGTGGCTCCCAAGATTTCGCTAATAATTTATTACATTTTTTACATTTATGAGTGAGGCATCCAGAAGGTTTATGTATTAAAGGAAAGAGAAAAACGCGAAGCACGAGCTAGGTTTCTCAGTAATCAGATAATCGTTATCGTAGTTAAACGCAACTATCTCTAGGCGAGCGATTAAACCGAAGGAAAAAAGCGTCGTTACGCGAGGATGCCAGGTGTAATTTAACCGGCAAGGACCGTAGGCAAGTGAAATCCGCTCACGACCTAACGAAAAGCAAGCGCGGGGAAATACGTATACAGGAGAGATAAACGCGACGAGTTGCTAAAACAGCCTAGTTCGAGAAAACCGAGAAACACGATTAGAAAAGATCTACGAGATTAGATTTACTTAAGCTATTTACTTAAAATATTGTCTGACGGTATTTCGCTATTATCACAGTATATAACTTTAAAGCCTTAAATGATCTACGTTTATATATTTTCTGCTTAATTACGCATAGAATATTCTGACAAAGTTTGGCTGTTAAACAAGGGAACGTCCTGTGGATCATAGAGGTTAGGAACGAGATTAACGCGCGAGTAAATTCTCGGCGCGTATTTCGAAAATGTGGAGCAACCGACGAGAACGAAAAAGAAAAAACAAACACGGATTGGACGGCAAGGTTAGACGAGCAACACGTAACGTTTTCCATGCCGATTAAGAAAACAAGTAAACGGAAGTTTCGTTTGGTAAACGTTACTTGCGATCGAGCCACGGCGAGAGGACAATGGCGCGGTTAGGTTAGACATTTTCTTCCTAAGAAACGCTCGAGTTTAGTAGCGTACCACAGAGAAGAACCGTTAGGATACTAAAGTTTTATTGCGTCCCCTTCCCACACGAAACCAACGGAAGCTATACACGTGGTATACGTTAGGTCGTTGGGAAAATTCGTAGCGAAAGAAGAAAAATTTAATTGGTATCAAACTTTCCGCCGTCGTAATTTTACGCGTCTTTCCTAATAATCAAATCCTTCGAATATCTTTCACCGGCTTCTGTATTTAATGTATGTATTTAATTTCTTATCTGCGCAAGCATACGTAATATATTCATCAAAGTTTTTATAAGTGTACAAACACTCTCGTGCGCTACAGTTACACGTATGCATTATACGATATAAACACGCAGCTACAGGCTTACTCCGTAGCCGTGAATAAATGAGTCACAAAAGTTATATTGTTACGACCAGCGGTCGAAACGCGAATGAAAACGACGAGTCTGGTCGCTTCCTCGGCTAGCAACCGAGTCTACCGAAACGCAACCTTACCTCTAGCGTGATAAATTCCTATGGAGAACAAGGGCCAGATACGAAGGGTTCGAAAAAAGAAAGAGCGAAACAGAAAGAAAAAGAAAGAACAGAAAAAGAGAGAGAGAGAGAATGGAGGGAACGAGAGGGCGAGTTGGCAGCATCTACGATCCTATAAACACGCCGCGCACACAGATCGAACGCAGCCACGGTTGTCGGTCTCGTAACCGCGGTACAACGACCCCTGGCCTGCTGTCGAACGCGCCTTCGCACTAATTGCGATACCCGAACCGAGACTCGCTTACCGACCAGTACGTTTCTTCGACGTTGAGATCGTTGATCGAGAAACAGAGATTTGTCGTGTGTTTAAATGGACCTATGTATGTACGTAGATATTTACTCCGCTATATACCGTCGCGTTCTTTCCCGGTACATATACAAGTGGCTCCTCCCAACGATGCGAGGCGAACTGTCGAGAGAAAAAAACTACATACTTCGAAAAAACGCCTGGTCGCGAACGTAAACACGGGATATGCGCCCGACCGAATACTTTCGTATATCGCTATACGCATGTATTATACATATATCGAGATGCGTGGCGTTCGTATTATCGCGAGCAAACATAACAAAGATAGAAAAGACGCAAGGTCGCGTAATCAGAAAGGAGAGAAATCGGAGTACGTAGAAAGATCGGAGCAGAGTAATACATTGACTAGCGAAGCAAAGGCACGGCTTGATTTCTAGTTGGTTACCGTTCCTCTCGTTCTGTTCCTCCTTCCTGCTTTTCTGTTCGTTCCTCGAGGCGTTCGTCGAACCACGAGAGAGAAAAGCTATCTCGCTCACTCACCTGTCAGAACTCTCGGAGCTGTCGTATCGATCGGCACACCGCTTCTTGCCGCAAGGGCCGACGAGGGTGTCCTCGGCCATCCTAACCTGTCCCTTGAAAGGGCTGCCCTGATGCCTGCCGGCAACGAGGCCATTTGCAGTAACACCAGCGGCACCAGCAGCACCACCACCAGAACCAGAAACAGCAGCAGCGGCAGCAGCACCACCACTACCACTACTACCACCATCACTACTACTACCATCACTAGCGATACCGTCCGTCGTTTTTCCGGAGGCGTCCTCCTCGTCTATACCAGCCTCGCTGCTACTACTACTTTTATCGCATCCGAGACGATTCACTTTTTCTACTAACGCGTGCTCCTGATGCTCATGGTGACGATGTTCGTCCTCGTCCCCGTCTCCGTCCTCGTCGTTGTCGTCATCTACGCGGCACTCGTTCATTTTGCTCGCACTTTCGTTCGGAGAATTCACCGTCGCGTCGAAGAAAGCCGCGGACCTCGACCGTCGACCGTCACCGACCGAGCACCCACCACCGGCATTGTCACCACCGCGCGTCGCGTGACCGGTCATCGCGCCACCCTCCGAACCACTGCTACTACCATTATTATTACCACTACCGTTACCGCTACTATTACTATTATCGCTATCGCTCTCTTCGTTTTTCACCTTTATTACATTTTTCGTCTTTATTACGTCGATTCGAACCAAGCCGCAACACTTTTTCGATACACCCTTCTTCACTCCATTCTCTCCTACGTTATATTCTTCTTCGTCTTCGTCCTCCTCATCATCATCGTCGTCCTCGTCCTCGTCCTCGTCCTCGTCGTCCTCGTCGTCGTCGTCGTCGTCGTCGTCGTCATCGTCGTTTTCCTCGTAATCTTCCCTGCTCGGTGACGTAAACGGAGCAACGCACATCGTGTCAACACCAACACCACTGCCACTCTCGTTTTTACTAACGCGTTCGTTACCATCAGCCTGGTCATCCTCGTGCTCCCGACGATGATAATGCTGGTAATGATGATGATTATTGTTGTTGTTGCTTAGATTACCGATGTTATTGCTGCTGTTGTTGATGTTGTTGTTGTTGTTGTTGCTGCTGTTGTTGTTAGGGTTACCAAGATGCCGACGAGGAAGATGAGGATTGGTATGACAATTACGACGGGGAGGACGATGTTGATGTTGTTGCCGATGATGAGGATGACTATCGAGCACAGAAGCGTCTTCGTGGATGCGTCTCGCGATGTCCTGACCCGTGCTCAAGGACGTCATCGAAAACGAAGCGTCCTCGCGTTTGTGTCGCTCCCTTGTTAAACGAGAATCACTGTCCCCCAGGTCGGTAGCCGCGTCTTCCGCGGACGGACCGTCTGCCATCTTGTAAACGATCGCACTAATGCCTGGCAGAGGCCCTATGGCACGAGCACGGGCCGCGCCACCGCTAGCTCGCTTCTACGGCCCGGCACGGCTCACTTAACCCCTCTTTTCTTCACCTTACAAAACCACCGCCACCTCTCGCCGACGGCTGCCCACTGACGACCCCCACTCCCGAAGCTGCCGACGCCTGCTCGCGAATCCGAACGACGACACCCGAATGCTACCGATGTCTTCCGGTCCCGCACGAATACCCTTCCCTTTCGACGATTCGACCGATCGCCACGACACCTCACGGCCGTCTTAACTTTCGCTTTCTGGGGGAGGGAAATTAAAACGTTCTATTTGGAGCAACTTCTAATAGGAATAGTTCTAATATATACGATATTCTAATTGAAATAATTGAAAAATTGAAAATAGAACGTAATAGCTTACTCGGCACGATCGTAATATCATATATATATATATTTTATTGTAAACTGTCTCTGAGCGTTTTGAAATGAAGAAAATGCATTTGATGTTTGTGATTTACTTTTCTTTATTCAGAAAAAAATCAACTCTTTCTGTGAGAATCCAAGAACATACGTCTTCGATACCGTAATACTGTTGAACGAAACGCTTAGCCATGAGCACCATCAGATTTATTTGCGTTCTGGAATGTAATTCCAAAATGAAAGACACATTCTCTAGCGTGAACTTACGTATAAGCTTTTGTACACGCAAATATTTACACGATATACAGGATATTCACAAATCGTACTTTAACTTCTTGTTAATTCTTCTAAATACATACAAAATTTATTGCTATATTGGCTAGACTCGAAATTTCGCCTAATGGATAGTTACAGAAAGTTTCATTTTTCCTATTTTTTATACATATGTGTATATATAGTATGTTCAAAATGTGTGCGATATTATAAGTACGTACGAACATAAGAAAAATATCAAATTAAATTTATCCTATGGACGTACGATCGTTTCATCGACTTTCTCTCTTAAAATTTAAATTTCTTTGATTTCTGGAATGTGCGTGCTCGAACACGTTGCTGTACAAAAGCACTAACTTTGAGCGTAACATCGATCACATATTATGCAAAGCAATAGGACCGTAAGCTATATAGCGATAAACAAGTGTTAAATACCGCTTTTTGATCGTATAAGAATAGGCACAAGACAGGCACTTTCAATATCTTCGTAATAATTGAAATTCGCAGAGTACAAAGGTTCTTCTTCGTTCCGAATGCCTTCTAACTTTGTCGGAAACTTCTTGTACAAGCGATCAGTTTGCGAAACGTTTTAAAACAAGAAGAACAGAATCGAAACTGTTTTCTCGGTGTTTACATTAATAACTACTTAATTTACAAATTGAAAGTTAAATCATTAACTCTATTTTTTATACCTTTTCTTCTTTACACGTGAGGCAGCTACAATTCATGTTGTAATATTTACTAAATGTAAATATATAAAATTGTATCATTATACTTTAAATCGATGACAACGACTCAATAATTATTGTCAACTTTGATACGTAAAATTTGAAGTGAGAGGTATACCGGTACACGTAGCAAATCCACTGATTAAATACAGCGGTAATAACTTTCGATGTTTGCACTTACGTATGTAATCTTTGGATCTTTTTACACGATCTTTAAGTAATATTTATTAGAAAGCATTGGTCTTCCTTCATACCAATCGCTAAAAATAGAGCACATGAACTTTCGTTTGCTTCAGCGAAATTGGGAATATGTTTACGATATACACAAAATCACAATAGCAATTCAAGCGCAGCAACTTTGTTCATTTTATATATATATGTAAACATGATCATTTAAAATAGCTTTCCCTTTTCATGATGGGAATGTTTCCATTACCTCTATATACTTTCTCAGATTAGGGTCAGTTATTATGATCAAACTCGTAGATCGTTTATCACCAAATATTTCTCTCTACTCCTTCAATCTCATCCTAATAAAAAATCCGTATATACACTAATATTTTAATTATATCTTGAACATGTGAATCAACCTTGTTAGTCGTAAAAGTGATTCCAAAATTCATGTACTTTCCCCGATCATGCGACTGATCGGTAGTCTCTCTATTTAAACATTGTAAAAATCTTTTGTGCATTTATTTCTTTTTAAGTTCTCCTCTAATATCCTGCGCAATTGAAGTTAGACTTCAAAGTAAAGCCACAAATAGTTCCGCTAAAGACGATCGGTTTCGATCGTTTTACTATCATCTCCCTGCGTCATAGACAAACGCGAAGTATTCGCCATGTCTGATAACAGAAGATGTTCATTGTCTATGGAACCTTTCGAATTTCCACTGATTAAGTTATTGCGGCCGCTGGTGCTCCTAGCCAATCTTCGTTCTACCTTATCACGTCTTTGCTTTTCTCTTTCTGTCTTCAATTTTGTAAATTCGTCATCGGAGTTAACGCTAGCGGATGAACTATCGCTGCTTATAAGATCATCCGCAACACTGTCTATGTAGCTGGCTGCTGGTTCGTAAGCAATGCTCGATCGTGCTGACTGTGAAGTACGTTGTGCTCTAAAATCCGAATAATTTCATCGTTTCGATCTCATTTTGCAATATGAAAAAGATAGAAAATAGTTCGTTTAGAAAGAAAATTATCAACCTTGAATCAGACCCGTATCTCCTGTCGTTGACAATCTCCCCGTTACTTCCCCTTAACACACCACCAGTTACAGGAGCGCTACACGAAAATATCTCTCCATTTCGTGAGTGTTCCATACCAGGAACAGCGACGGGAGCACTTGGAGGTGGTGGTCCCGGCGAAAATATGCTCTGCACGTGAGGTCTCTTCTCCGACTTCATCGACGTTAACGTCATCTGTTCGTCCGCTTCTTCCTTGATTACTCCGATCCTCATCGAGCCTCCTCCTGCTATTTAAAATTTTCAGTACATATCAAACATAGTTTGGCCGGAGAAACGGACATATACGTATATACCCGAAGTTTTATGAAAATTTGAAATCTGAACTTACCAACGGCTCTATTTTGTAGCGAAGCGGCCGAACTAGAAGATGCAAGCCTTCCAGGTGTTTTAGTCCCACTTGATGTACCGCCATCTGGTCTATCGTCTTTACTGAATAATCGTTTCAGCACGCTGGTGACGCTGTTGACTCTTGGTAGAGACTCTCCGATGATGCTTGGAGTGGAGCCTCCGCTCATGGTACGGTCCCGATTGCTTACTCTGCTAGCGCTTCTACAAGTAAACATATACTTCCGATTCCATAACCCAATAACCCTCGCATATTTTCAGCACTCGATATCGTAACTTACACAATAGATAGACGTTAAATAAATAATATTACCTCGCTATTTTACCACTCTCGGTTGCGCTCCTGGTTAAGCGTTAGGCATATGAGCGTTTACAAAAAAAACCGTATCGCGTGGAATAAAACATTCAAAAATAGCATCGTTCCAAGACCAACCTTGACATTTTCCCGGTCGCTATGAAGTGTATACCAGACGCGGCGTCGTCGGCCATGTCAGGGCGGAACTTCTGTTGATAGTCCCCTGCCATTTCATCAATCCTGACCGAAGATGGTTGAAGTTCTTGCTGCGCCGCGGATAACTGAATTCTAGCCGTGGATGGCTCCGGATGCTCCTCGCGGAAGGGCTGCGCTGCCGCCGTGTACGGAAGTTCCGCAGGGAAGATCTCGTCCCAATATTGATCGCGGATTAATTCCGGATGCTCGTGGTGCATCTCATCGACGATAAGGTAGCTTACCTTTTACAATACATATGGAATTAGAATACATCAAAGATACATTAACATTTATAAAGCTAACAGTAGCACAATACATACTATACATTTTAAAACGTCTATTATAACGTATGCTATTATATGCATAATTGGATTCATCGTGAAAAGAAAAAATCCATCTCGGAAGGATTGAACACGTGGTATTTTCATTAGACATTATACCTGCAAATTTCTGTCGATTATCCAATTGACTTCAAAATCATCGTCGTCCTCTCCGAACGGATTAATCAAAGTCTCGGCTACTTTCAACCAACCCATATAAAAAAAGAATTGCAGCGTTGTGAATACTGGAAAATACATATCGATGTTCGGCGATGCATCGGTCACCGACTGCCGACCCATCACGCTTGTTAAAAAGTACGTATACACAGCTAACGTAACTACCTACAGAATACGCGAACAGAAAAGGAAATTAAAATTCTTGGTACGATGGATGCACGAATGTTAAATGTACATGGTTCTGGTGCGTGTTGGACGTGCTCACCTGAGTGTAAACTAAAGGAACGCTAATAGTATCATAGTGCATGAGGCTACCGCAGAGGCCGCGAAACTTATTTAACTCGTCTATCAATGTTTTCACGGCGAAGTCGTCACGAATCCGGCCCTCCTTCCTCGCTCTTGTCACAATACTTGACGCCCATACTATCGGTAACCAATGCTTGCTGGGCTTAGGAAACTTTGTGTTCAGACTTTCGAATATGACTAGCTCGTTCTCCAGCAACAAACCCGCCTCTACGAAGTGCTCTAACGTGGGGAATCGTTTCTTCACACGGGGCGAGACCATCGCCAGTACTAGCGTTAAGCAAACGCACACGTACCTGAAATGAAAGAAAAGCAGTTGTCATATATATATATACATATATACATATATGTATCAAGGAAAATTAAATACTTTTTATACCAGTACAAAAGTTCAACTGGATTACTTCTCGCCTTGACTTTAATCGAATCGATTCTTACTGTTCTATCGTGTCACAGTAACGAGCAACGTGCACAGTACCGTGCAAAGATATTAGCTCACTTACCAAATGAAAATTTTTCGCTTTTTTATGGATGTATATAAAAATCGATGAAGCAGTATTTTATGCGAACGACTTTCGCTCTTCCGACAGATACAATTTTTAAATAAACTGAGCTATAATATCTGACAATTTGTTTTTAGTATTCTATACAAGTTATTTCTATTTTCGACTTTCTCTCTTCTTACGACAGACTCTAAATCGTTCCGTGTCTGTTTCGTATCATATTGGCTAAAGACTATTGCACGGTATTTTATGTACCTGACGATAGTTCGGCGCATTAGTCGACCTCTCTCGTCGTTGCCGTGAATAGTGGCTGACACGAAAACCGCGATTGAGTCTGGCCACGGTATCACCATGTATTGATTCCACCACCTGGTCATAACAATACTGACGTAGAAGCCCAGGACGAAAGACAGCGGAATTAGATCGCTGTACGCGTTGCAGTACGCTACTATGGCCGCGAATATCTTCTTCTGTTCTTCGTCCAATATCAGCCGGTAAATACTCGACAGCGAATAATATATGAAGAGGAAAAGTGCTAGGTCCAACCAGACGAGCTTGTACACGCTTGCTCGCCATCTAGAAAACAAACAATACGTAACGCAAGACGTTTTGACAGCCGCTGATTAATTACAAAAAATAAAACGCACTTCTCGAAAGCACTTTCAATTTCTGTGAAAGTGCAATCGATATCTGCGATTTTAGGTCATAGAATCTGTTCAAGACCGTTAGTGTAGTTAGTTCCGAGAAACCATCGCGATAATTCAGTGGATTATTCAACGATTATTATCCGGCAGGTCTCTGTTTAATCACGGAATACATCGTGTGCGTTCCAATGATGAATTACGAGATCCCTTTTTCTTATCTCGAGGAATCTTGACTGTACCGCGCGTTGAGGTCCAAGGAATCTCGCGATCGAACCATCCTTGAGATTGCAAATTGATACCTGGGCGATGAAGTCTCGCACAATTTTCCATTGTTCGCACCTTAGTGGTGAGTAAAGCGTTTACACGCGAGCACGCAATCGTATTACGTTCGACATACAGTTGCTCGCTAAAGTATTTGTACATTTACCATATGGCAACTTGCATGTACGCATGTACGGATATGTTGTACGAAACACTTTGAAAATTAGCACGCTAATGAAACACGTCTGTGGTGATTATATCGATGAAATTTGTTATTAATGTGAAAATATATTTTCAGTAAAGAGATTAGCACAACATGGATAGTTATCTTGAATATATGTAAATGTTAAATGTAGGTATATATAATTCCAGGGAATATCGAGTCTTATTAACAGAATGAACAATTGACTGTCTAAATACGTTCGTGATCTCTGCGAAATATACGCGTACCTGTTCGAGAAAATCGACTTTGAATTTTGGCTCGGTACGCGTGCACTGTATCGCGTCTCGTTATAATGGATCTCACTATAGATCGTTGTCTCGATGGAAAAATTAAAAAAAAAAAATTTTTTTTCTATAATGTCGACCTCTTTTTTCGAGTAGAATCACCCCCTTTCCGCTTGTACCACCAGTTATCAACCACCCTGTATATACAAGTTGCAAGTTATTTATTAGAAGTGCACATTTCGCAGTGCTGAAACTTTAAGTTGGGTTGTCTCCAGGAACTGCTTCGTGATGTTCTTCGCGTACAACTTGCTATTTTCTATTTAATTGTAAGTCGCGTAAGCTACGGAACACTATCGACGAATAAATACCTTATATTCGATCTCGTCTTCTCTTAACCGACACTCAATACAATATCGTGTCAGAACCATAGGCTTGTTCTACTTGTGCGAGACACCCTGTATTGTAGCTTTTAAGGAACGTTAAGACGATCGATATTATTGTCAATATTTCAAGCTTCTCAACATCGTGGTATGTAAGAGACCGTCTAATGTAGACAATCGATATACAGGGTGGTTGGTAACTGGTGATAGAAGCGGAAAGGGGGTGATTCTACGCGAAAAAGAAGTCGAAAATATAGAATAAAATTTTTTTTTAATTTTTCCATCGAGACAACGATCTACAGTGAGATCCGTTATAACGAGACGCGATAAAGTGCACGCGTACCGAGCGAAAATTCAAAGTCGATTTTCTCGAAAACAAAGCCTCGAACGAAAAATTGTTATTCTATATTTTCGACTTCTTTTTTCGCGTAGAATCACCCCCTTTCCGTTTGTATCACCAGTTACCAGCCACCCTGTATTATCGATTTGATTCTCAGATTCTATGCTACGATTATCATATTTTCTCTAAAAAATTGATCAGTATAGTCATAACAGTCCAGTCTCGTCATATTATCAATGAACTTTCAAGATGTTTCGTATAACGTACAATCGTATCTCTACGAGCGTTTGAGTAGTTTCGCAAGCAATTGCACATAACGTGACCCGATAACGACTAAACTGGAGGAAATAAACGCGGGTCGATTCGTAGAATCTCTCTGACGAACTATGGTCTTATTACGGACTTCAAAGACATATAGTTTACAGTCTACGCAATTGTACCTTATTTTCGACGGTGACGCATAATCGAAAATATTCTTGAGCGTGAAACATTTCGTTAAATACGGCTGCAGGATCGTCGGATCGTCGTAAGAGATCTGTTATCGCGATAAACGTTCCGCTAATGAATAAGGTAGAACGACGCTCTATGAATACTAAACGGCGACTAAACCAAGACTCACTCGAGTATCTTTTTCGCGTCGATTTTCCTATACCACGATCGACATTTTAACGAATCTTTCAAGATGAAGAAAATTGGAAGATACAGTAGAAATCCGTTTATCTCGAGTCGTCAGGAAACAAAGAACTCGTACAACCGGAGTTCAATAACATCAGCACGTCTACAAGTAACGTCGTGTTTATATACCTATATGTATGATGTTGGTAGCTTTAAAACGAGAATTCAAATTTGCTCGTGCTATAAACGTGAAAAATAGCCCGTGCTACATTTAGGGAATAAAATCAGTTACACGTAACAATCTGTATTCGTTCTATTTTGCGTTGTATTTAACGTTATTTTCACCGTTGTTGAAAGAGAACCGACGACAAAACATCTTCCAAGGATATTATTTATGCACTGACGTGATAATTAATTCGTTTCTTACTCAATTGCAAAATAAAGGCTCGCGCTCGTAAGTAGCAAGAGTTCAATTAATAGGACATTAAGTCCAATCTCGTGTCACGATAAATACGATTCAGACAAATAGTATCATCGGACAGACAATGGAGTAACTGTAAATACAATATATTACATTCTTCGAAGAGCAAACGAGTAACGCGCGTAATTTAAAGCATGGCTTGCACGTGACGAGCTTCGAACAGTTGAAACACCGCATCCGAGTACGGATATAGCGTAATTGAAATAATAATAGAAAGGTCAACGACCACGGGTCAAGTGAAAAATGGAATAAATCTTCCTCGATACTCTATATACAATTTGTCTTAGAATCAACGAAACAAACGGTTCTCATTGAATAAGAACAATAATCCATTAGACACTAGAAAATAACCGATGGCATATAGAAACGTATAACGTAAATATTGAAAAATGAACGATATGATCTGCCTGCAGGTCTCATCGGTATATGTAAGTAACTAGAATTGTCGAGATGTATCCAACCTTGGTTACGATATTCTCCTTGATATCCTTCACGTACGTACACGTGACGCGTTTTTTCGCGGAACGCTATGACGGAAGAATTGAAAATATTATTCAAACATGATAGCTGATAAATAATCGCGTGCAAAATCAAAAAGAATCGTCGGTAAAGATTACGATCCATTAACAAGCTACGCCTTTGTATCTGAAAATCTTACGTTTATCTATCAAGTACCGATAGTGTACTATCTATGGAGCGTCGAGTGGACACGAATCATTTTCAGCGAAAGAAAATATCAGGGTAACGTATGAAAGTTAAATAGAACGAATGTCGCTGTCAAAATTGACAACGTAAACAGGACAAAGTAAAAATAAACTATAACAGATATAACTTATCAACGGTTTTCTTAACTGCATGCAATAGCGTCGACTGAACGGACGAGCTAAACCTAAACTGCTTACCTTAGGAGTAATTTTAGGAAGCAACCGAGACCTCTGCAGGTAGCGACTTCGGCAGTATAAGTGACTGTCATCTCTCACGATACACCTGCTGTGCTGAGAAACACGGCATAACCAACTGCAGTTCCTTTAGAAGAAGATCTCACCGATATTCTCGCTAGAACGTCGTCTCGCTAAAATCATCTCTTCTGGCACGCGTATCGCATCCTTTTCTTTCACCTTTTTTCCGTCTGACAATTACCACAAGTTATTAATTAAATCGCGTACCACTTTATCTCTGGGTTCTTCTCCCTCGACGATAGACAGACGAACGAGATGGCTGCGAAGGTCATTCTCGATGTGCTTTACGCGTGTCTTGCTGTCTCTTTTTCTCTTCGTCAATCGATTATGTAATTCGTTGCAATCGCACGACACCGAAAACGACGTTACTCGATGAAATTGCTTTTCGTTTGGAATCTTTCACGTGCCAACGTCCTCGCGGTACGCTCTATTAGAAAGAGACGACGACAATCACTATACCAGTTAACGAGGTACAAAATATTTTAACAATTTAACACGATACTTTGTGAGTTACGCGACACACTTTCAATTTACCGCGCTTTCGTTAGTTTTCTTTTCGATTCACTTCTCACATGCTACTCTTCCTCCCTTCCCGGTACGCTCTATTAGGAAGGGACGGCACATATTCACGGAACCCGCCGTTTGAAGGAAAAGAAAAATGGTCGATGCAATCCTACAAATTATGTTGACACTGTATCAAGTCGCCGCGATTTCGCTCCCCTTCTTTCTTCGATAAAAATGGTTATTTTCGTTGAACAAGTAAAATGATTTCGTATAGCATCCCACTGTAACACGTTATCGTTGCTACATGACTATTAAATACCTCGTTGTTACACCTCTAGTCGTTTAGAACTACTATTATCCTTAAGCTGTTAACACAATGGTGCTTGTCGTATGTATTATCGATAATTCACTGGCACTTCACTGGCTCCTTTCATCGAGTCGTTGACAATTCGAACGTCGTTTCCGGTATACGTTCGCGCTCAAGAACACCGATAATACGTTTGAAAAGCTGCCCGGTTGGAGGTAATACCGAAACGTTACGGTTTGTCTTAGTCTTAGCAAGCTCCACAAGTGAGCTTAGAATGCCAGATACGTGGATGAAAGTGGTAATCGGCGCTCGTTATCGATAATTTACTGGTATTAAAAAACAAACACATTTTATAACATCAGTCTTTGATACCAGTCTTATCTCTTTCTTTATATAGAAATCACTTAATAAAAATTCAATAATACACAAAGAACAAAGCGCGTGCTATGTGGTATGTTTGATCATCGCATCACTCATCTTCCAAGTAAAAGGTCACGCGGAAATCGTACGCGATAGACAAGTTTAATCGTTCATTCCGATCTTCCTCAAACACCCGAGGCACACCTCCTATCAAATTGCATTCGTTCGATCACCATATTATTTTCTAAATCTGATCCCCACTAACGATCTATGGCAAATGACCAAGCCTTTGTTCACTTCCGTTCTCGGTGCAATGACTCATTTGCGTTCTATATTTCACAAGCTTTACGCAAGATGCGTTTTCTATCCGTTCCTTGTTAACAGCACATTACAGTAATCGCAATGGTAAGCTTGACTTGTAACCTTGTACGTGGATCGTTATCGCGTTATAGGTAAGTAGTCTGTTATCGTGCCGCCGACCTGCTTTACATTCTTGGTATAGAACTTCTTCGAATAGAAGCATAAAATATTACTTTCCTTACTTTTAGTATGTCCACTGGTTTCTGAATGTTACCATAAGTTTTATCTTTAAAATTAATTCTATTCGTATTCGACATTAAGGTTTCATCTAAAGTACTTTCGACGTCGCTCGCACAGAATCACATAGGGTGTATTTTCGACTTTAGCATAGGGATTTTATTCTGTTTGCACTCGACACCGTGATAAGGTTGTAGATGTCCCTCTACAAGCATCCCTTTATTAGATTAATGGTAGCAGACTGATAAATGTTATCTTTCCAATATTGTGTATGAATTTGTTATATCGCATTAACGGCCATCGTTTCACCTGTATTTCGCGGTTTTTACAAATGAGCGATAAGTTTGCACTAGAATTTTTGGAAACTCGGCTGTTTGATAGAAAAATTGTTAGAATTAGAGCATAAAAGGTCAATTGGTACATGCGATCGATATATTTAGAAAGTGTCAGGTCATTTATACATCTGTGAAAAGCGTGATATTGATCACCACTTTTGATACTACCTTTGAAAGGTTCTAATTTTGTCCTTGTAAACGCAGCGAGCACGTGTATGCGTAGTCATTCTGGAGAAACCAGAATGACGCAGAGGGGAAAGCATGGAACATACATGTGCAACGAATTAATGTTTCTGACGTAGCTCGTTTATTGTATCTACACGCAATGCATTATCAAGCAGGTAACACGAAACAGGATCAGGATTATCACCAGTGTCAACACCACACACGGATGGAAATAAATATTTTTGCTCCGAAATGTAAACAAAATTATTCAATAACGATAAAAATAGTTTTTTTTTAATTCAATCACAACTTAAAGATTCATGATTCACTGTATTTTCACAAAATTCGCATGTTCTTTGTTGACGTAAAGTGATCCTTCTTCTTATCACGTGAGTTGGAAATTTCTCTGTTGACTACTCTAAAAACATGAGATCTTTGTAACACTGAAACGAAACATTTCATTGATTTGATAAAACTGAACTAACGCAGAAGAGATTCGATAACAGAACTGTTTAGGTCAAAAATTTCTGGTACCGTATCTTCGAGCGTTCAGCCGTAATTTCATGACAAAGGAACAGAACGACGCTCAAAAGATCCTTGAGCTCGTCCTACGCCCCACTTTGTCCTTCTACCCTGCGCACGCTTCGTACAACGAAATTCATTTTACGGAATTCGAAGCACAGCTGGTCGTGAGTTTCCCGAGCACTATGCACAATCGCGACCAATCAAGTGCCAAGAGTATCGTACACGCAAACTCTACCTGTCTTTTATAGAAAGAATACTGAATATGTGGCTGAGACTAGTCGTTGCCGCAGCACGCCAAAAGATCCCCCGGAGCCGCACCACTCGCCTTCCAATCCCATCCCCATCATACCTCGTGTTTCCGCATCGACCAGTGGTGCTCATCAACCGTTGAAAAATCACTCTACTGAAATTATGTTTAACCCACTAAAAATTAAATAACATAAAGACGAAGTAAAGGAATAATATGACTATTCCGGAAATAAGACGTAATTAATGAAAATATTCGTATTTCGCGCAAATACATAACTCTGGTGAGTTCGTTCAATATTCCAAATGATAGTCATGTTTGAAAGTGCTATAGAAGCAATCGGAGTTGACTAAATATTTGAAACAGCGTCATCAACAAAATTATGAAAGAACTATGAATTGGAAACTAAAAATGAAGGTGACAATATTCTCGTATTTCACGTTAAAAAATTTTAGGAGACACGAAAGATCTGATATTAAAGAAACGACAAGGTTTATATAACACACAGTTTTACTGGTTATGGCTATGTACACGTAGATTTTTCTTGATCATTTATCAAAATACTATGTTAAGAACGGTAAGGTGTTGTCATGACATCCATTATACACGTTTAATAGAACCTTCATGCTGGCTAATCGTACATACACTTCTAAAATTACAGTACTAGAATTACAAGTGTAAAATTCACATGCATTACACTCGTATGATTAACGTGAATTTGTAACTTATATAATATGAACTTCATAGGAGATAATATACATTTAAACTGTTGTTTACATTCTTATAATCTAGACTCTTTTATATTCGTTTCTAAGAGAACAGTTGTAACCTGAATAAATTATTAATTGATTCCATGTACAACTCGGACACGCGCGTATAAATGAGTCCGAATGAACCTTTTAATCAATTGACATTGATATTACTACTGGATTAAAAGTTTTGGTCCCTAAAAGTCACAGCCATAAAATGCAATAAACAGTAGCAGTCTGGATTTAAGGCCACTCGATGAATAACGAAAACGATCGTGAACGATGATTTCGATGACTCATTTAGTTTCGATAAAGTACAGCATATTTCTGATGAAAAAATGCATATTAAAATTAATAATACATTGCTTGACAATGTTTTACAATCCTTAGGAACAGTACAGCTCGAAATGCAACAAAGGACGTTGATTTTGTCCTAATAATTTTGATGAAACAGCACTGTTAATAGTCTTAATTAATCTTTTTTACAATGTGCCGACAGTCTTATTGGAATTTTTAAGATATGTCATGCAACGATAGTTGTCAACGTATCGTGTTTAGTCCCAGTTCTGAAACATAAAAAATCGGAGAAATCTGTATAATTTAAATAATCCATAATTCATGTCTTACACCTAAAAAGCACGATGTACCTTATAGTAGCATGCTGCGTTGATCGTGACCAACCAGCAATGAAACTATTTTCACTTCTCTCAGCGATTCGTTGTCTATGGCTACCACTTTTTGATGGTGCATTCAACGTGGCACTTTGCATAAAATCGGGAGCTATTGTCGATTTTATGGTTCTACAAAATAACCTAAATACACAATAATAAATGTTGCGTATAATTTAATTTTTAGAATATTTATTGACCGTTAATATATAAGATACAAAGACATACTTAGGCATCAATGCTAGAACACAGGTAAGTAATACTGTAAGCCAGTATGTATATCTCATGATAGCCATTTCCATTACCCAATACGAACATAGGAGACCCATACAATTAACGCAAACTACGTTATAAATTAAACAGAAACCGAAAAATACTCCTAGTGATCCCATTACGGCAAGAAGATGAATTATCGTCTGGAAACGAAATCACATCATATAGCATGTAATATCCAGTGTAATATACATTTATAATGTATATCATATAATATATTATATAATATTTAAATCTATACTTAGATGTTTATATGTTATATGATATATATAATAAAATTTTTATTTACCCAAGATCTAATTTCTATGGCAATATTGGTCAACATAATAACAACAGAACAAGTCATTACAGTTGTTCCAAACTCCCAAATATCAACAGTCGAATCATAGTATACCTAAACAAAATAGTTTCCTTTTCATCATGTCGGTGTATTAACTTATACTATATCACATTTTTTGAGACTATACTAACACCCTCATTAACAAAAAAAATGACGATACTTTGATACAAAGCATCAGCAATGGTTATCCAAAATGTATATGTCTGGTATACGAGTCCAAGGCGTCCTCTTTTGTACAGATGAGGATTAGACAATAAAACACCGGGAGAAGCCACTCGATCATATATGCCTAATACAAGTGGTGGCATAGACGTAAATATTAAATTGTAGAGCATTAGATAAATTTGGTCCATCATGACTGTTCCAGTAAATCCGCAGTATAGCTACAAAAATAGTAAGATATTTTTATACAGGTATTAAAACTAGAGTATTAAAAATGAAGTAGAATGTATAGAAATAGAAACTATACCTGATACCAAAACAGGACGAAAACGATAGTAGCGTTCTCGTAAAAAAAATATAAGATCATTCTAGACAAACGGTCGTAACACCAATGACCATGCAGCAAAAGAAGTCTG